AAAAAAAAACAAGAGCTCATCGCTCTCCGAGAATACAACAAAATACTGGAGTAATTATGAGTATTTGATAACCAAGAACTTTCCCGTTCTTGATTATATAGCTATCCAGTGCTTGTTACAGTATACAACATGATGTAGTCATATGTTTGCAGGAAGCTATATACGATTTCATGCACCTGGAGTGCGTCGTTGAAGCGATCGATCATCTCAAGGAACTTGGATTGACAACAACTGCCCCACCTACAAATATGGCTATCACTACAACTATTACACGATTTTCAGAAACTAGTACGACTACATCAAGTGGTATCACAACTGCGACAGCTCCAACAGAACCGACTCGCACGTCGGCAACTATTCCTTCTGCGACTTCCGCGATCCCTTCACGGTCTATTACGACGATAACAACCATTCCCTATACGGCTACAGCGACAGGAGCATCGACTCCGATCGAAAGCATTACTACTGCTCCATCTCCTACCACTATCACTATCACAGCTACATCGACCAGCACCAGTTTTGAGGCGGCAGCAGCGATCCCCACTACGAATATTACGGTAACATCTACGACTTCCGCGATCCCCTCACGGTCTATTACGACGATAACAATCATTCCCTATACGACTACAACGACAGGAGCATCGACGCCGATCGAAAGCACTACTACTGCTTCATCTCCTACCACTATCGCTACCACAGCTACATCGACCGCCACCAGTTTGGAGACGACAGCAGCGATTCCCGCTACGAATACTACGATAACATCTACGACTTCCAGCGCAGTTACTACTACTGCAACAACCGTTTCTTCAACGACTACTTCGAGAAATGAAGGAAGTATGATTTCCACAACGACTAGTACAACAGAAACAGCAACAACAACTTCAGAACCAACGTTTGCTTTTTCAATTAAAGCGACTCCACACTTTAAACAATCCTCGAGCATTGGTTCAATTACCAAATCTACCATGTTCCTTGAGGAAGTTCTGTTGTTTTGGTCATGTCTCTTGAATACAGCGGCCTAATAGAAATCAAAATGGAAAGAGAAACACGTGAAGCTTACAAAAAAAGTGAAAAATAAAGCTAACCTCAAATATGTGAAAGCGGCAGTTACAATAAAAATTTCGTTTTCAAATACGTTACTCTTTCCCGCGAGTTCGAAAGTTTATGGTCCCTTCGGGAAACCCTTAGGGACAACATAGTGAATATCGTATTATCTCGAGAACTGCCCTTAACGTTGCCTTCGCTATCAACTTACAAAAGAAAATTTGTAATGCGACGGAATGGAACTGATTTATTTACAAAAGAAGTACTGCTAGTGCAGACTATATAAATCCGGCAAAATACCCCAATTTCTATATTCGAGAGAAAAAAGAAGAAAGAAAAATAGCCAAATTCAACTAATCAAGACATCTGGCAAGAGGCGGAACTAATGTTCAAAGCTGCTGAACCTACGAAATAACCCCAATTATATCTGATTACCGTATGATATCATGATAAATCATCCAGCACTAACCAATAAGCCAATTCTCTTCAAAACACTCCTACCCGGAAAATGCGACAACAGAACTGAGCGACGTAGCGATCCAACGTTGTTGTCCTCTTTTATATCCCACCAGTTAGGCGCCCGGCTTACAACGGGTCCATTCCTAATTTTTACCAAGTAAGTAAGTGTGGTTAGTGGAGGGGCATTGCTTTTATCTGACACTGAGAGCCAGAGTGCAGAGGAGGGGTAGCCGACCTGACCTGTACTTGGAAATGACTTGGAAATGGTTCTAGGCGAAAGAATATGGTATGAAGCTAAGTCTCAATAGGGGAGAAGCGGTGGGTGAGGATGGGATGATTACCTCGTGCAAAAAGCTAGGCACCTCGGTACTCCTACCTCCTGAAGCTAAGATCAAAATACTGTATAATCTCGGCTAAGAAACGTTAATAAGCGCAACTATGGGCTATCTTCCTTATGTTGGAATTGTGTTGAAAAAAAGCGGAGGTGTCTGATCTACATTATTACCTCCAATTTTTGTAAAGACATACATAGCACGATCCCAGTACATATCGAAATCACAGTTTTGAAGTACCCACTTCACCCCACATCACTCAATTCACTCTGCAGTACTCACTCTACTCCGTCAACTTACCCACCAACTTATATATATATATAGGGAGGAAGTGTAGAGTAGAGCTACGTTTTCCATATCACTACCTTTACGTAATCATGAATTTCTCGGACGGACAGACACACAAACCG